GATGTCTGACACAAAAAAGAAAACTGTGTTTCAAATGAAGTAATGTCCCCACGAAGGTTAGCTACAGCTACTGGCTCACTGAAAATATCAATGTTTTTGTTTCCACAAGGAAGGTACCAAGTAATTTCAGTCAGTCCATCAGATATTCTTCTTGGACTGTCGCCACACTCCATATCATGGTGAACAAAGGTGTCATGGTACTGCTGAGAATTGCTCAGAAGCTTATTGAGAATCTCTGACTTGGACAAGGAGCATTCCCCCAGTCTCACAAAGGATATCATTGGAAGTTCAGAGAGAACAATTCTGTCTTCAATAAAACCCTTGGATTGTGAAAGTGACTGAGGTCTGTACTTTTTAACAATGTCTCTCAAGGCCCAAAGCATGAGTGTGCACTGTTGTGTGTCACAATTAGGGAGCAGCAGCGGCACAGAAAACTGACACATAGACATTTTGAGTGCCATCTCCTGCTGTACAAAAGCATCAGAACACAGAAAGAGAGCAGTGATGATGTCAAGGGGGTTCAGCATGTCACCTGAGTTTGGACTATCAACCAGATTCCTCAGATCTAACTTCGTATTCCCTGATACAGCATCACAGTCAGATTCACATTCTGATGTACATTTTGCATTCCTGGCTGTCACATTAACCATCATTAGTTTCTTCAGAAAATACCATGGAAGATCTGATTGACACTTGGCAGTTTCATCAGTAATGGTCCTCTCATCAATCTGAAGTATGTTGCTCAGTGATAACTTCTCTGTGTAGTGTTGCTCCAACCCCAGGTCTTCTAGTAACCTCTCTTGGTGTGTCTCTGTGGATATCAAGAAAATGGTAAGTAATATCAATATTTTCAATATACTAAAGCATGAATCCCTAATTAAAGGTGCCCTGTGGAGCTTCTGACTTCTCGCAGCACTATGAAGCAGTTTTTTCACCAGTGGGTCCATTTTGCTTGCGCATGGAGATGCTCATGCACAAATGCATGCATGCATCCCCTAACAAACCCTTACACATGTCATTCAAGTAATCAGGATAAAACACTATACTATTTCACAGCAATCGCAGAAAAGCAGCAATATAATCACACTTCCTACCAACACTGGCACATGTAAACCAGCTGCGGCCAGCGTAAAGGTTCCAAGAGCAGAGCTAGATTTAGAAAACATCACACTATTCAAGTCCAAGGAATGTCAGCTTTGGTTTTGTAAACAATAACTGCTTAATCATGGCCATGGTGATTCTTACTCAAGCTGAGATTTAGGACGTTTATTAACATTGTAGCTGTTTGACCACTGAGCAATGCCAGTCCTTGCACAATGTACATGCACTCTACAAAGGTCAAGTGAGTGGAGTGGACTGCCTGAAATGCATTGCCTGCCCTGGGCAAAGCCTCATAGCAGGATGAAAGAAAGGGGGGCGGGGCTGGTCAAAGGGGGTTCAAGTACTGTAAAAATAAAAAAACTATTCCCTTTCCTTTTATGGCCACAAATTCTTTATAATTTAAGTAGCTTAGTTGACTACAAAAAAATAGCGAAAAAGTAATTTCATTACTTAAGTCAACATACACTTATGTAGTTAAATGTATTTCACTATTAACCCCAACCCTAACCCAACCATGCACACAGGAACCGCCCACAGCTGAGATGACACAGTGTACAGCACTCTCTTCAGGTGTCAGGGACCTTCCTGCTCTGAAGAGTTCACGTTTCCCCCCAAAAAATGCTTCTAGCAAACAGATAAGACCAGAGCAGAGGCGGGCTGGCCATGGGGACTAACGGTTCTAATGGCGATCGGCCAGTGGACACAAGTTTTTTTTTTTTTTTTTTAAGTTATTACCGGCTCCGGTAGTGCCATCCATATTTCCATTCCCTGCGGAATTTCTTTCTTAGTCTGACCGTGGAGCCAATACTGCACTGGCTTTGCAAAATGAAGAGCCCAACTAAAGCGCCACAGCTTGACTCAGTACTGGCATTTCTTCTCTTCTACGTGTAAGTACCTTGATGGTTACATAATATTCTGTCTGTTTTCATTAGTGGCCGGCTAATATGGGCATGATAACATTAGCCGACTTGCTGATACACATATAATGAATTTGTTTGGCAAAAGTTGCTATCAATAGCTGGCTAACTGCTAGCACTCCTGTGAAGCATATCATGGCATTGGTAGCATGGGTTAATGGTTGTGGGTGGATTGTTTTTGTTGGCTGTTGTGTCTATAGGGTAACTTCATTCAGTTGTGCTTCTCCTTATGTGTTTAGTGGCCACTTAAACTGGACTTCATAACACTTCGCTGACACATTAACTGGGTGGGTGGCGAGGCCGAGGTTGTGGCCGATTAATCATTTTTTCTGTTTGAGATGATGGTGGTCTGGCAGTAACGATCCTTTAGAGG